CCTCCTCCTCCTCTTCCTCCTCCTCCTCCTCCTCTACCTCCTCCTACCCTCCCTCCTCCCTCCCTCCCTCCCTCCCTCCCTCCCTCCCCTCCCTCCCTGCCTCCCTCCCTCCCTCCTTCCCTCCCTCCCTCCTCCCTCCTCTCCTCCTCCTCCTCTCCTCCTTCCTCCTCCTCCTCCTCCTCTTCCTCCTCTCCCCTCTCTCCTCGTCCTCGTCCTCGTCCCCGTTGTCTCCTCTTCCTCGCCTCCTTCACCTCCTTCCCCTGCCCTCCTCCTCCCTCCTCCTCCTCCCTCCTCTCCTCATACTCCTCCTCAAAAAAAAAAAAAAGGATACTCCTCTCCTCCTCCTTCTTCCCCTCCTCCTTCACCTCCTCCCCTGCTCCTCCCCTGCTCCTTCCTCCTCCTCCTGCCTCCTCCCTCCTCCTCCTCCTCCTCTCCTACCTCCTCCTTCTCCTCCTCCTCCTCCTACTCCTCCTCCTCGAGGACGCCAACCGACACCTACACCGACCCTGGCCAGGCCCATCCTGGGCTCAGGGTCGGTGCACTCGCCCCCTTGTCTTGGCCAGGGACAGGCGTGCGCCCCGATCCTGGGCCAAAGGCTCGACCTGGGCCCGGGATCCGTGCAGGCGTGCACTCGTCCAGCTGGCGCCCTCCGAGCCTGGGATCGACCCCCCCCCACACGGGGTCACTCTGGCCTACCATCGGGTGTTGCTAGAAGTACACCTGGCCCAAGGTGCCCCCAGCTTTTCGCTCCATCTTGGAGCCCCTGGGGCCCTCTGGGCCTCGTGAGGGGTGCTCCTAGAATCCTGGGGGCACCTTGGACCAGGGGGGGCCCTTCTGGCAACACCCGATGCAAGGGCCACCCCTGCGCGCAGCTGGCCCTCCTTCGCGACGCCGGGCGCCCAGGCGGGGAGCCTCCGCCTCCGAGGGCGCCCTCCGCGGCCCTGGGCCGCCGCCGTGGCCGCCGTCGCCGGCCGCCGCGGGCCACCCGGAGAACATGGTTCGTCCCCGCGGGCGCGCGCCCCGGGCCGCCGCCGCCAGAAGGCGGCGCGCCTGCGCTGGCTGGGCTGCCAGCGCGGCCCGAGCCAAAAGGCTGCCCGCTGCGCTGCTGGGGGCCGTGGGCCGCCGCCCCTCTGGCGCCCCGCCCGGCCGCCAGATGGCACCCCGCTGGAGGCAGCGTGCTGGGCCCAGTGGGCAGCGCTGAGCCCCGATCATGTCCGACCCCGTCGCGCGATCCACACCCACGAGATCCGACGTTGCCATCGCGAAGAATCTCACCTGGAGCCCTGGACCCCTGCGGTAGACTGTCAGACTGCGCTCCCCCTCGCTCCCCTCCCCCGGTTTCCCTCCCCGAGATCCCTGCGCCTCCCATCGGCGGTGCAAAGATGGGGCCCCGAGGGATGGGGACCTGAGGTCAGGTAGGGATCCAAGGGTGGATGGACACTGTTTGAGGCACCCCGTCCTTGGGGCCCCATCCCTCACGACCCCATCTTTGAGCTGCGCACCCAACTCATCGGGCAACCTGGTGCACAAGCGCGCCCTGTCGCGACTTCCGCAGCCGGCGGTGCGGAAGAGCGGAGCGCCTGTGATCTCCCCCATCGACCCCCGCCAGCACATGGCGAGGCGATGGATCGCCCACCGCCTGTCTACAGGCTGTCTAGATGGAGGCCTGGCAGTCCCAGAAGCGCGATTAGATATCCGCCACCGTGCCTCCTGACACGTCGAGGCGTGGCAAGATGCCAAATGCCAAATGCTGCCTGGTAGGGTTGCCGTGAGTCTTCTATGGCTCCACCCCCCATCACACTCAGGTGCATCCCCAACCCCCTCTTCCGGGGATCCTGACGCCTCCCTGGAGCTCTCGAAGGCTCGCTCGCCACGGATTCCAAGGCCGCCACGATGGCCCAACATTGCCCCAAGAGGCACCCAGAAGCTATAAGACCCACCCAAAGCCGCTCAGCAGGTGGAGACGCCAAAGACGAGATTTTCATTTGGGTTCAACATCTTTCTGGCTTTCCACGTTCTTCGGCCGAATATTGCTCCACTTGCGGTCTCCGAAAGTCCAAGCGGGCCCACTGAGAGCCCCAATAGGGCCCCTAAATAGCCTAAAGAGAGCCCTAAGCTGGCCCAACAAGGCCTCCAGAAGAACCCAAGACGGCTTCGGAGCGCCCAAGACTGCCCAAGGGGATCCCAAGAGACCCCCACAGAGGGTCTGCATGGCTCAATATTGCCAAAGACAGCCCCGCGACGGCCCAAAATGGCCCCCAGATGACCGAAGAGGGCCCGAATGGACCTCAAAGACCGCCCCACTCGAACCCGATGCAGATCACGACGGCCCAAGTGAGCCCCACAAAAGCTCCTCAAGAAGGTGAGACGAGAGGTGTCACATGTGACGGGCTCCTGTATGGGGAGATGTAGAAGCCGCGTAAATATGAACTTTCAGAGGTCCGCGCGGACTTCTGGGCTGCGCCGCAAGGGGTCCAGCGTCGATCCAAGAAATCCGCGCGGGTCCGACAATTCCGCGACTGCAGTCTCGAGGAGGACGAGTAGTAGGAGGAGGAGGAGGAGGAGGAGGAGGAGGAGGAGGAGGAGGAGGAGGAGGAAGAGGAGGAGGGGGAGGGGGAGGAGGGGGAGGAGGAGGAAGATGAGGGGGAGGAGGAGGAGGACGAGGAGGAGGAGGACCAGTGTAAACCCAAGAGCTATCAACGATATTGGAATACACCCTCCCTCCAAGCTCCCTCTTCATAGGCCGCTACAAGGGGTCATTTCCATTGAGGGATCTGCCTCGTTGGAAGACAACTGTTTGAAGACCCTGAAACATGCCAAGACGTTGTTTTCGGGATTCCAACGCCACGGATCAACCTGGCTGTCGCGTCTTGACGATCCTGGATCGTGCCAGAACGCCATTCTTCGGAGTTCAACGCCGCGAATCAACGTAACTGTTGCACCCGCAAAATCCTGAATCCTTCCAAAGTGCCATTTCTGGTGCGTCGATCGTGGGAATTCGTGAAGCTCTTGCAATTCGTTAGAACGAATGTGCGCGGCGAGAGCCACATTTTGAAAACGGGTGATCCTCAATATGTGAAGCTCTTAAATTTATCATCGAACGTGCGCGGCGCTAGAGCGAATGCCACATTTTGAAAACAAGTGATCCTCAATCCGTGAAGCTCTTGCAAATTTTTGCAACGAATGTGCGCGGCGCTAAAGCAAGAACCACATTTTGAAAACGGGTGATCCTCAATCCGTGAAGCTTTTGCAAATGTTTAGAAGGAAAGTGCGCGGCGCCAAGGCGAGAACCGCATTAAAAAAACGACCCGCCCTCCATCCGTGAAGCTGTTGCCAATTTTTGAGCTTCAGAGTCATACATGGTGAGGAAATCTCAGGCGAAACGCCCGGCCCGCCCTAAAAACTGGCCTCGGGGTGCCGCAGTGAGAAGTTATTTATAAGGAAAAGGAATGGAGGAGGACGAGGAGGAGGAGGAGGAGGAGGAGGAGGAGGAGGAGGAGGAGGAGGAGGAGGAGGAGGAGGAGGAGGAGAACGAGGAGGAGCAGCCCGAGAAGCTGGGGGAAGAAGAGGGAGGAGGAAGAGGAGCAAGAGGAGCAAGTTTGCTTCTTCTCACTTGCTTCCGGGCTGTGCTTACGAGGTCGCCACACGGAAAAGGCTCCTCTGGCACGGTGGCGGGTCTGCCGCAGGCATTCTGGGCACAGCGCACACGCCGGCGCAGGGACGAGCCAGCGTGCCCCACCCTGTCGGCGGCGTGCAGAGGCTGAGGGGGGAGGGGGGGCGCAAAAAAATGGATTCGCGATTCATGGATCTGGCGCGCGGTCGCCAAATCCATGGATCGGGGGAGGTGCCCTCTCCAAGATGCGGCCGGCGCCGCCTCGTCAGGCGGCGGAGATCCGCGATTTCCCATGGAAACGGGACCCGTCGCCACTCCACGCCCCCTGGATCCATGTTTGCGATCGCCGGATGGTGGGGCGTGGGGCCGGCCTTCCGCAGAAGCCAGGGGGGACCTCTCGGCAAGGACAGGATCAACCCGCTTGCATCGACATCGAATCGGACCGACGGGATCGAAGCGGACCCTGCAAGGATCCGGAGGACTCCGAGGGAGCCCCTCGGACAGGAGGGCCCCCGAGAGCCCCCCTGCCTTCTCACGAGGCCGCCCTCCCCGCCCTGCCCTCGACCAGCATCGGCTGCACGCAAAGAGCGACCCTGGGCACGAGCGTTCCTTGGCGCGCGGCTCCTGGGGGCCGCCTGGGGGGCATCGCGCGCTCGGCGCAGTGCGGCGATCGGGGGACCCCCGGTGGGCCAGCACGAAAGGTCACTCCCGCGAGCGGTCGCTCCTGCGCGAGTCGACTCAGGCCCCACTCGGCACTGGCCCTCCCGACGCTTCCCAGGGATCCACGTCCAGGCCCGCTCTCCGAGCCACGCCCGCCCGTGGCGGCGAGAGCTCCCCAGAGAGCTCCGAGACGGCGGCGCCGTCGACCGACTCGGCCGCCGCCGCCGCCGCCCCCGTAGCCCCCATCATCCCCTTACGCGCGCCACTGGCCAGCCCCGCCTGGGCGCCGTCAAGAGCAGGGGCTCTTCCAGGCTGGGGTCCGAGCAGATGGGGTCGGAGGCTCGCACCGCATCGGCGATGCAACGGCGATGCATCGCCGATGCGTTGGCGACGTCGGCGATGCATCGGCGCCGTCGGCGTGGAGAAAATCGGACTCCACATCGAGTCTCGTCGCCGATGCATCGCCGACGCGGCGCGATCCTCCGTCCCCGTCGGCCTCGACCACGCCTGGGAGGCCCGGACGGAGGAGGAGGAGGAGGAGGAGGAGGAGGAGGAGGAGGAGGAAGGAGAGGAGGAGGAGGAGGAGAGGAGGAGGAGGAGGGAGGAGGAGGAGGAGGAGGAGGAGGAGGAGGAGGAGGAGGGGGAGGGAGGAGGAGGAGGAGGAGGAGGAGGAGGAGGAGGAGGAGGAGGAGGAGGAGGAGGAGGAGGAGGAGGAGGAGGAGGAGGCGCGCCGCTCAGGTGACATACTTGAGGAAGAGCAGCACCGCGCCGAGAGCCGCCAGGGCGGCGTAGACCCCGAGGAGGGCCATCGCGACGCAGACCAGCACCAGGCCCAGGAGCCTGCGGCGAGGCGCGCGCCGCCCTCGCGAGCTGGCGCCCCGCTCCGGGCGTGCCCGGAGGCCTCGGCGATCTCGTGTCGCCACTGCGCTGGCTCACGAAAGCGTTTCGAAGCCTGGCCGGTGGCCCGCACGTGCGCGAGTGTCGTGTGAAGGAAGGTTGCCCTATGGTTCCTTAGTGTTTTCGGCCTCCCAGTGCCCCTTTTGGGGTTCCAGTTGGCGTGGCAAGACCATCCGCCAGATAACGTTGCGCCGATCGCCTGGGCTGCGTCTGGTGCCATTCGTTCGACCTGGCCCGAATCATATTCACTCTTCGCCACCAGTCTCTGACGCCCGCTGTCGATCTGTCACTGGCCCCTCGGTGAAGCCAGGGCTGGTAGCACGGGGGCGTTGAAGGCACCCGGGCACTCCAAAGGCAACGGGAACACCATTTCCCGCCTTCAGACAGATACACGTCTTTCGACCTCTGAATCAGGCGGGCTCGCCCAGACGGGTCTCTGAAGACCACTGTGGCTGCCAAATGCCATAGATGGTGGCTTGTAGGTCCCGCGCGACACCCCTTGGGCCCCTGGCTCCCAAAGCGCACCTATTTGGTCAAGCTGTTTCGTGCGCGCTGTGGGCCAGCTGCCACCGCCCTTCGCGACCTGCTGGCGCGCCCCGGTACGGGGAGAACTGTGGGGCGTTGCGAGCGTCCAGTGCAAACCGACGATCTTGCACGCGCTTTGGTGATTTTGTGCGTGGACGCCGGCGGCAACTCTCGGAGAAGTCTTGGCCCCGGGTCCAACGATATGGCTGTCGATCTCCCACGAGCTCTCGGAGGACGAACGAATACACTGTCCGCATGAGGGCGTCAATCATACACTAAGACTAAACGCGGTGAGGCGCACCCTAGGACCTGTGCCTAATTCTGGTGAGTTGCCAAGAGCTCCGACGATGTGGTTTTGGCACGACTCGGGCCCAAGAACTTCTGACCCGATCCCAAAGACATCCTTTCTGCTGCGGATCGTTTTCTGAGAAAGAGCGTGTTCTACCACTGCTGGCGGAAAACCGGGGGGGGGTCACAGGGGGTTCCCAACCCGCCCCCCCCCCGCCCCCGCCCCCCCTCGAAAACCGGGCGGGGTCACTACTGGTTCGAACCCCTCACCCCCCAGTCCATCATGAAAAGGGGGGGGTCACTACCGGTTCCCACCACCCCTCCCCCCCCTCTCGGAAACCGGGGGGGGTCACTACTGGTTCGAAGACCCCCCCGCCTTTGAAAACCGGGGGGGGGTCACTGCCAGTTCGACCCCCCCCCCCCTCGCCGCCGGCAAACGATTCCCGCTCCTCGGGACAGTTGGACAATGGTGGGGATGCTGGGACAGTGGTGGGAACGGTGGTGGTGGGGACAGTGGTGCGGGGACACTGGAACAGTGATGCGGACAGTGGTGGGGACGGTGGTGGTGGGGACAGTGGTGAGGGGACAGCGGGACCGTGGTGGGGACAGTGGGACAGTGGTGGGGACGGTAGTGGTGGGGACAGTGGTGAAGGTGAGGACAGTGGTGGGACAGTAGTACAGTGGGAAAAGTGGTGGGGACAGTGGGACAGTGATGGGGACAGTGATGGGGACAGTGATGGGGACAGTGGGACATCACAGTGGGACAGCGGCGGGGACAGTGGGACAGTAGTGGGTACAGTGGGGACAGTGGGACAATGGTGGGGACCGTGGGGAAAGTGGGGAGAGTGGGACCGTGGTGGGACAATGGTGGGGAGAGTGGGGACAGTGAGACACTGGTGGGGGCACTGGTGGGGACAGCGGGGACAATGGTGGGAACAGTGGGACAATGGTGGGGACGGTGGTGGTGGGGACAGTGGTGTGGGGACAATGGGAATGTGGTGGAAACAGTGGTATAGTGGAGGTTACAGTGGTGGTGGGGACAGTAGTGGTGAGGGCGGTGGCGAGGACGGCGGTGGGATAATGGGACAGTAGTGCAGTGGGGAAAATGGTGGGGACAGTGGTGGGAACAGTGGGACAGCTCAGTGGGACAGCGGCGGGGACAGTGGGACAGCGGGGACAATGGGACAGTGGTTGGGGCCGTGGAGAAAGTGGGGAGAGTGGAACCGTGATGGGAACAGTGGGGACAGTGCGACAGTGGTGGGGGCACTGTTGGGGATAGTGGGGACGGTGGTGGGAACAGTGGGGCCAGTGGTGGTGTGGACAGTGGTGCTGGGGACAGCAATGGGGGATGTGGTGCGGACGGTGGTAGGGACCCCGGAGTCGTTTGCTGGCGGTGAGCGTTGGGGGGGGGGGAGGGGTTCGAACCGGTAGTGCCCCCCCCGGTTTTCGAGGGGGCCGGGGAAGGGGGCCCGGGGGTTCGAACCGGCAGTGCCCCCCCCCGGTTTTCGAGGGGGGGGGAGGGGGTTCGAAACGGTAGTGACCCCCGCCTGTTTTCGAGGGAGGTGGTGGGGGGGTTCGAACCGGTAGTGATCCCCCTCTGGTTTTCTGGAGGGGGGGGGAGGGGTTCGAACCAGTAGCGACCCCCCTCTGGTTTTCTGGGGGGGGGAGGGGTTCGAACCGGTAGTGAATCCCCCCGGTTTTCCGGAGGGGGAGGGGTTCGAACCGGTAGTGACACCCTTCGGTTTTCCGGAGAGGGGCGGGGGGCTTAGGGGAAGGGGGGGGTTTTGCCGGGGGGAAATGGGTGTGGGGGGGGGGTCCAACAGGAGGGGGGATTTTCGAAGGGGGGGGGACCCCCGGGTTCTGGAGGAAGAGGGGGGGGAATTTTCCACAGTAAAGCGTTGGTGGATCACGCTCTCTCTTTTCTGATGGTCGCATGCCCCGCATGATAGACGACGCCTTTTTTCGTGATGTTTTCGCGACTCCTGGAATTCTATGCTGTGCAAGCCTCGCACTTTGGCCAGCGACCTGGGGAACCCAACCCTCCCCAATGCGGGCGTTGTTGGAATGTTGCGACTCCCTAAAAAAGGGGTCCTCACGTGGCAGCCCTTGGCTGGTCTCAGAAACACGATCGGTTTGTGTGTCGCGACGGCTGAGGAAACGCCTGTCCACAGCTGCCAGCCTGACAATTTTCTATCCACGGGGGGTCTAGAAACCAGGCCCCCTCCTCGGAACAAAAAAACAAGCTCCACAGGGGGCGGTCAGAAACCAGGGACCCCCGCCCCCCTCAAAACCTCCCAGTAAGCTCTCCCATCCCCCCCCTCTGTCCCCTCCGGGAAGAAGAACCCAGGGGAACCCCCTCCCCCAAAAACCCCCATCCCTCCCCCCCCGGCCCCTTCGGGAAGAAGAACCCAGGGGGTCCCGACCGCCCCTCGCCCCCCCCCCCACCCCTCCTCGGTCCAAACCAAAAAAATAATGGGAAGGGGGGGGGGACGTCAGGACCCCCCTTCCTTCCCCCCTCCCCGCCAAGGAAAAAGGTGTGGTGCGTGGGGGGATCTGGGCCACTCTCCCCCTCCTTTCCCCCTCCCTCCCCCTCCCGGAAAAAAATCAGTGAGGGGGGGGGTCAGAACTTGGGTTAGATCGGGCATGTCCTGCTACCGTGTTCTACTCTACCTCACCTTGCCTTCCTGCACCCTAATACGCTCTACTATACTCTACTTTGCTCCTACTCTACTCTACTCTACTCTACTCTGCTCTACTCTACTGTAATCTATTGTACTCTATTCAGCTCATCTTTACTCTAATCTGTTTCTGCCAGACTCTACCCATTCCTTTCTACTCGACTCTATTTGCCCTCCTCTGATCTAAGCTACTCCACTCTAGCAAACCGTACCCTAACATACTCTACTCCTCTCCAGTTCGCTCTTACTCTACTTGTTTTTACCCTTGTCTACTCTACCCTACCCTGCCCTACTCTACCCTACCCTCCTCTACCCTACCGTACCCTAACATACTTGACTATACTCTCATTTATTCCGACTTTATTATACTTTTACTCTACTCTGCTCAGCTCTGCTCTACTTTGGTTTCTGCACTGCTCTACTATGATCTCGGCGCCGTCCCTGCTTTATTATGATCGACAAATCCCTACTCTAGTCTACCATACTCTACTCTACTCTAGCCTATCCTACCCTACTCTACTCGACTCTACCACCTACTCTACCCCTATTCTACTCAACTCTACGCCTACTCTGCTCGTCGTCGTCGTCGTCGTCGTCGTCGTCGACGTCGTCGTCGTCGTCGTCGTCGTCGTCGTCGTCGTCGTCGTACGTCGCGCGTCGTGCATTGTGCGTCGTCGTCGTCGTCGTCGCCGCCGCCGCCGCCGCCGTCGTCGTCGTCGTCGTCGCCGTCGTCGCCGTCTCGTCGTCTCGTCGTCGTCGTCGTCGGCGGCGTCGTCGTCGTACATCTTGCGTCTTGCGTCTTGCGTCTTGCGTCGTCGTCGTCGTCGTCGTCGTCGTCGTCGTCGTCGTCGTCGTCACCACCGCCGTCGTCGTCGTCGGCGGCGGCGGCGTCGTCGTGCGTCGTGCGTCGTGCGTCGTGCGTCGTGCGTCGTGCGTCGTGCGTGGTCGTGGTCGTGGTCGTGGTCGTGGTCGTCGGCGTCGGCGTGGGCGTCGTCGTCGTCGTCGTCGTCGTCGTCGTCGTCGTCGTCGTGCGCCGTACGTCTTGCGTCTTGCGTCGTGCGTCGTCGTCGTCGTCGTCGTCACCACCGCCGTTGTCGTCGTCGTCGTCGTCGGCGCCGCTGGCGTGCCGCGGGGCCTGCGCAGCCACAGGCGGCCTTTCTTCCACTTGATCCAGGACTGGACAGGGGCAGTCCACTCCTCGCCCGCGCGCGGTGACACGGGCGGCAACGGCAATAACACGGCGGCGGCGGCGGCCTGCGTGGAAAGCCGCGAGGGTGCCGCTGGAGGAAGCAGCGGCGGGGGATCGCAGAAGTCGGAATGCCCGCGGAAAGAGTCGCACACACTGTGCGGTAGAAGCGGGTCTCGGTCAGCGTTCGGCTTCCCCTAAAATTTCCAACGAATGCCCAAGAGACCCCAAGGAGCCTCCAAGAGACGCTCAAAGAGGTCGCCGATTCCTGAAACCAATAAATGGTATCCATGTTTTCAAGTATCGTTTCTCTTCCGAAACTTTCTGGCCGGCTTCAGATTATCTCGGGAAAAACTCCATACAACTTAAAGAAACAAAAATGACGGCCCGAGACGGCGCCAAGAGCGCCCCAATAACAACCACATACTTTCCGGCTTCCAGGCGGCTCCCAGGACAACCAAATAGCGTCAAAAAGCGGCTGCAAGACGTCCTAAGACCATCCAAACCCGACCCAGCGAGTCCACAAACGCTGCAACATCAACAGCAAGTGCCCTAAGAAGCCCCAGTATGCCTCCAAGAGACGCGCAAGGAGATCTCCAGAGAGGCCCTGGGATGCGGACTAACAAAAACATGATTCTCATTCCGAAGATTTTCTGCTGCAAATCGCTTCGGAGGGGCTTCAGGGAGCGCCCATGAACACCCAAGACGGTCCAAGAACGCCCCAAGGCACTCCGTAGAACGTACTTCTCGATTTCTAGACGGCCCCTAGGCAGCACCTAAATCCCCCCAGAGATGCCCCAAGGAACCTCCAAGAGACGCCCAAAGAGGCCTCCAGCGAGGCCCTCTGGTGAAGAGGATTACGAAAGGCATATGGGGAACCAATGTTTTGCTTCCGAGGCTTGTCGGCGTCACATTGCATCGGGAAGGTTTCATCGAATCGCCACAAGACAGCCAAAGAACACTCCGAAGTAGCCCCGGCGGGCTCCAAGCCAACCCCAAGATCTGCCCAGATTTCGTTAAGATGGTTCAATCGCACCTCTTCGGGACAGCTATGCGGGACCATCGCGCCCGAAACGTTTCAGAGACCCCTGACGGGCTCCCCGAAGGCCTCCAAGCTGGCCGAAGGCCCTCAAGAGGCCCGAAAGGAGCGACAAGAAACGAGGACGAAGGAGGACATATAAGGAAAACGATGCTGAGGACAAAGGGAGGGTGATTAGGACCCGTGCTGATACAAACAAGGCATTGACTGGATCGGTCCCAACCTCAACCTCACTCCTACTGGCTGCTGCGCTGGCACGGTGGCGGGGTTTGCCGCAGGCAGCTGGACATGTGGTGCAGCACACACACACCTATATATATATATACGTTTACACACATACATATATATATATATCGATGGATGCATGCATGCTCGTATGTAAGTGTATGTGTATGCATGTGTATATGTAGACGTATATGTATATGTTTGGGTGTATGCATCTGTACAATGTAGGTATATTCACATGTGTCTATGGGGAGCATAGGTGTATATGATTTTATGCATACATGTGTATGCACGCACATACATATACATATATATATCTATATATATATGTATGTGTAGGTGTATGTGTACGTACATGTTTATGTATATATAATGTGTGTATACGTATATGTACGTACATGTACATGTCAATGTCGGCGCATCGGTGTGTATATATATAAATAGATATCTATGCGTAGCTGCTTATGGATATGGAAATGCACGCGTATATGTATGTGCTTGAACATGTGCATATGTCCATGCATATGCATATGTTTATGTAATTTCATATACATGCACAAATGCGTGTGTCCGCATACGTACACGTATACGTATATACGTATGTGTAGTCGGTAATGTATAAGTATATGTACATATGTGTACATGTGTTTGCACATGTGCATGTGTGTGTATATGCATACGTATATATATATATATATATATATATATCGTTAAATTTGTATGCATGCATGTATCTATATATATATATATGGTCGCACCCCCCAAGATCTACATTTTGATGGGGCCTGGAGATTAAATTCCTCTAAGGAAGCTTTGCGTTGTTTGTGTTGGTGGCAAGTCATGCCCACCAAACGCTGCTATCTTCTAAGATGCCTAAGGCAACCGAAGGAAGGTGGCCACCACGCGCTGATATTTTCTAAGATTTCTAAGATTTCCGCAACCACCCCAAGGCCTTGCAGAGCAGCCACGCGCACACACAACAATCCTGAATGGCCACCAAACGCTGCTATTTTCTAAGATTCCTAAGGCGACCGAAGGAAGGTGGCCACCAACCACTGCTATTTTCCAAAATTTCTAAGATTTCCAAAAATTTCCGCAACCACCCCAAGGCCTTGCAGAGCAGCCACGCGCACACAGCAACCCTGAAGGGCCACCAAACGCTGCTATTTTCTAAGATTCCTAAGGCGACCGAAGGAAGGTGGCCACCAAACACTGCTATTTTCTAAGATTTCTAAGATTTCCGCAGCCATCCCCAGGCTGGCCTGAAAGGTTGCGAAAATCTTAGACATCTGAGAAACCTTAGAAACTAGCATTGTTTGGTGGCCACCTTCCTTCGGTTGCCTCAGGAATCTTAGAAAATAGCGGTGTCTGGCGACCATTCTGAGTTGCTGTGTGCGCGCGGCTGCTCCGCAGGGCCTTGGGATGATTGGGGAAATCTTAGAAATCTTAGAAATCTTAGAACATAGCAGTGTTTGGTGGCCACCTTCCTTCGGTTGCCTTAGGAACCTTAGAAAACAGCAGCGTTAGGCGACCATCCAGGGTTTCTGCGCGCGCGTGGCTGCTGTGCAAGCGCGCGCAACAACAAGCCGCATGTTGGCGGTGTTAACAGCGCGGCAATGACGCAATTCCCATGGACGCCCGCTTAGCGGCTTCCGATGCTATGGCTGGCTAACGGCGAGCCGCAGAGGCAAGGGCGCAAGGGTGCCCCGCGCATGCTATGTTCATTTTTGCAGCGTGCGCAACAGCCATGCGAAGTCAGACGCGTGCCCTTTGTCTACCCCCGCAGCGATCTGGATGCACCCCGAATGGTTGCATGCCTCCCCGAGCAAATTCGCCTAGCACCCGCTGCTAGCTGTTAGACTCCTGCGCGGCGCCTGGCCCGCGGCGGCGGCGGCCGCCTCAGTCCGAATCCGAGTCGATCGCCACGGCGCCTGTTGAGGGCTTAGAAGTACGGCTGTCGACGAGGGAAGGGATGAGGGGGGGGGGGGGGGGGGGGACCGCCCGACAGCCGCGAACAGAGGAACAACCACGCCCTCTGCCCGCTCTGGGGCAGGGAGAACTTTTGGCAACCGCGATGGTTGCAGCGGTACCGAGGGCCGCGGTTCTGGACGTCCTTCAGGGGGCCGAGGGTTCTTTTCGTACAGAAGGAACACGTCTGGCCTTCCAGGTTCTCCAAAATCTGGCCCCCCAACAACATGTCAACGATCTCGCGGTCACTGGCGCGAATGAAATTACGGCTGCTCTATGAAGCCCGTGGCTCTCATATTGATCTCTGGCGGCCGAGGTACGCGCGTCGGTTGCGACAGTGGCGGTTTCGCCGAAGGAACCCTGGGTCCCGCGACCGCGCAAACGCGGAAGGCGGCCAGTTTTTTTTTTTTTTTTTTTTTTTTTTTTTTTTTTTTTTTTTTTTTTTTTTTTTTTTTTTTTTTTTTTGTTTTTTTATATATATATATATATATATATATAAAACCTTCTACGGCTGCTCTATGAAGCCCGTGGGTCTCATATTGGTCTCTGTCGGCCGAGGTACGCGCGTCGGTTGCAACAGTGGCGGTTTTGCCGAAGGAACCCAAGGTCTCGCGACCGCGCAAACACGAAAGGCGGCGTTTTTTTTTTTTTTTTTTTTTTTTGGGGGGGGTCCTCCCTCTCTCTCGTATATATGTTTATGTTATTATTTAGCATCTACGGCTGCTCTATGCAGCCCGTGGCTCTCATATTGGTCTCTGGCGGCCGAGGTGCGCGCGTCGGCTGCAACAATGGCGGTTTTGCCGAAGGGACCCAAGGTCTCGCGACCACGCAAACACGGCAGGCGGCCAGGATTTTTTTTTGTTATATATATATATGTATATATATGTATATTTATTTTTTAAGCATCTACGGCTGCTATAAGAAGCCCGTGGCTCTCATATTGGTCTCTCTGTCGGCCGAGGTACGCGCGTCGGTTGCGACAGTGGCGGTTTTGCCGAAGGGACCCAAGGTCCCGCGACCGCGCAAACACGGAAGGCGGCCATGATGTGTTTTTTTAGCATCTACGGTTGCTCAATCTAGTTCGTGGGTCCCTTTTGTGTCTGTGGTGGTCCAAATGCGCTCGTCGAGAAAATCCGAGGCCTCACGCGCGCCCGACGACGCCGATCACGATCGAGATGTCGTCGGGCTTGGGCGCGCCGTGCAGCTGCGCGCACTTGACCATCTGGTCGGCCGCGGCGTGAACGTCATCATCGGTGCCTGTGAGTATGACCTTGAAGCTCTCGTAAGGCGCGTTATCAACGATGCCGTCGGAGCAACAGATGATGATGTCTCTCGGGTTCAAATTGACGGTGCCGTAGCCGGCCTGTGCCACGGCACGCTCCAGATCAACGCCAACCCTGGCCACGCCAGGCAAAAACGCGACCTGCTTCGGACCGAGCACCTCGCCTGAAGCCGTGGCGATGCGGACGTGGTGGTTCCCGGTGATAAATAGCCGCGTGTAGCATCCCGTCAGAGCCGACTTGCGCCATGCCTGGATGGATACGCCCCCGATGTGGCAGTAGGCCATCTTGGTGCCAGACACAGAGAAAAAAACCGACCGTGGTGGAGCCGTACAACGTGGTGGTCTGGATGGCGAGCTGCAAGAGCCTCGTGGTTTATGTTGTTGTGGTTTACGTAACTGTTTTGTGTGTCGTTTGGTGTGTGCGTATGTTATTGTTCCTGTTTGCTCGGGCCTCGCCGCCCACGCCGCAGGGGCGTCCGTGGCCATGCTCCGCGCGT